TGTTGAGTAGGGTGCATTGTCCTCTCAGAAGGATGCTCAGCAGGGTCTAGCAGATTGTGTTGTCCTGCCTGGAACTGTGCAGGGTTCACAGCCACTCCTCTGGCGACTCAGGCTGCTTCGCATTATTCGCAGACCTTCTTGGAAGCTGGAGCTGTGGCTGGAGCCTGGCCACCATCACCCTAGGAAAGGGGTAAGGTGAGAATCAGGCTGAGCCTGGAGTAAGGATGGTGGAGCATTAGCCTCTGAGGATGCAGGCTGTGAAATGTAAGCAGTCTCTGGAGTACCATATGTAGTTTCTAACAAGGTAACACAGTGAGTGGTCTCTGAGAGAGGACTACATTCAACAGTCTAGGCAGTCTCTGAATGAGCTGGCTGATCATCACAACCCATTGTCTCAGAGGTAATACTGTCAGGCCCAACAGACATACTGTTGTTATTCACCAGCACAAAAAGACACGCAGTCTTGTTATGCACAGGTTCCAGACCTGCATAGGTTCTAAACCACAACACGTAACTTTATTAATCACAGTTCATTCTCTGACACAGCAACAGAAACCACAGTCTGTCTCCCAAATACTGAACACACAGACTCATTAAACTTAGTCCTGTTATCAGTGGACTCAAAAACAGACTATGCACTGAAGGAAATCTCCGTCATCCGTAGATCGAGTTTCCTCCTAAGGCGTGGGCACCAATAAGCAGAGTTCATCCTTTAACATATAACAAAATTAAAATATTATCATGCATGATCAACGGTTAATCACGGTACCGGCCGGAGTACCGGGAGCAGTTTGGAAGAACAAGAAGACGCGGAGACTGTCCTAGGTTGTCATTCCAAACTGACTCAACTTTATTCACAAGTACAACAGTTTATATAGAGGAAAAAGGTTCGTGTGTCAGCAGATTCTCAGTTCAAACTGGTACAGACCAAATAAGGAAGCGTCTTCCTGCCCTCTGAGCAAAGAAGTATCCTTTGTATAGTTCAGCTACAATTTATGATCATCCCAGCGAAATACACTCCTAGACATAGAGTACAGAGTTCTTTCATTAGTGAATTCTGAAACGAACCACCTGGCCTTTAACGAGCCTTTTTCTAAGAGATAAAGAAGGGAGGATGGGAGTAAGGAAGTGATCTCTGTGGTATTTTCGACCTTGGTACCAGCCTGTGATTCTTACACATTAATTCTTGGGTCACAGAGAAAGAGAAAAACAACTAGTAAATGGGCCTTATTGAGTAACAGTTTTCCTGTATAATATCACTATAAAACAATATCCTGTAAATGCTACCATGATATCAAAATATCACAACAGTTCCCACTTTTTATCATGAAATGATAACATAGTATAAAGACAGAATGTAATAAGATAATATAAAGACAAATCATAAACGTAACTTGTCCTCCGAGCAAGCTTGATATCAAAATTCTAAGAAAGAAAAGAAAGAGAAAAAAGAAAAAAGAGAAATAAGAAAACTTCATTCCCTTCTTTGATAGCGGAGTAATTCACAACCTAATGCTCAATATATATATATCAGGAACATCATTGGTGACATCTGGCACATCATCTGGGTCAATTTGTGCCAATTGCAAATACATTGAGGTAGAAAAACCCTAAAAGTAATGCAATAGATATGATAAATAACCTAAATATATAAGAAAAAACGCAGTTCTTCAGTCGTCTCCTGGCCTGGTCCCAGGTTCGAGAGACATTAAATAAGCATCGTATGATGACAATGGGCATTTCATTTTCTCCATTATCAAAATAGAATGAGTCTAGCTTTATCAGATTAGACATCATGTGGTACTTTCGGCTTTCTTGTCCTGCACCTTGCTGTTGTTCACGTGAAGGATCAAAGAGCTCTGAGTCTTGGCTCTTTCAGGCGTTGTGTGTTAATCAGTGATTGCGTGTGTGTATGTACATTGGATCCGGGCGCTGGCTCGTCGGTGTCGTCGTCTGCTTGATCCGACGCCTGAGATGGTCTGATTGGGCTGGTCTTAACCCTGCTGGCGTGAATCCACTGAGGTTGTCTGTCTGTGAGGATGCTGGTTCTTCGTCACTGCCAGTACAGTCTGGGGGCTGGAAAACGCGCGGCCTCCCCGAGTTTCCTTGGTTTTAGCGACTTCACCAACACCGCATCTCCTGGTCTCCACTGTGGAGGGGAGAGGCTGAGAAAGACAAACTTTCTGATAGTTATTATTCAGTGTTTCTGCCAAATTGTAAACATAGTCGGACAATCGCCTTCAGTGACGCTGTTCCCCTCTGGATCTTTGTGTGTGTGTGTGTGTTTGTTTGTGGGGTCAGAGTGTGACCCCATAAATAACTTCCCTAAACCTGCCAAGAGTTCGCCTAAGCAAATGGCACTGACGTCCTACCATAAAACAATAAAACAAGGCACAAACTCCCCCATGCTCCAGAGTGCTCTCTAATACACACAAAGTTTGCAGACTATCAAGGATCAAACCTCTACCAATCTACAACTAAGTATAAACTCTAAGCATATATGGATATTTCTAAGCATAAATGACAATAAACAGTACAAAACCTAACATTCCTCTCACTTATAGGCCATCAAAGCCCCATCTGAACCTGGATGCACCACTTGCATAGGTTTAATACTTGTAAATAAACGGCTAATCACACAAATCACTGCAACAATAATAGTAAACATTGTTTAATGTTAATTCTGGACCCCACCTCTTGACGCATGGACACTCATGCGTCAACTCACCAAACCTGGATCCCTGTCTTAAAAACCGGCTCCACCAGGAGCCTGCATACACAAGATCTGGAAATAAAATCAAACTTCACACTTATAAACAAGTATATCACAAGGGTAACAAACATTCAGCATCAGCAAGACAAGTGTCATATTCAGGTTTTTCTCAAATCATTAAATCACTATTATTACCAGAATTTGTCCCAAATCATGAATCATCCCAATTTATTCCACAATTTAATCTGTGACTTTCCTTAAACAATGTCACTCCTCCCATTTTATCACCATGAGCTCAATAGCCCATCTTCAACTATTCCATAAACACCGTAACCCCTTATTTGTTTTACTCATGCCACTTGTCCGTTTCTGCCAAATCCTCCACAGCATTCTCAGAGAAACAAACATTAGCAATGCACATTGATTATCCTGGTGGGCAGGCGTCGGCCATCGACATTCCAGAGGTGCCATAAAAACACCATAAAGTTAGCCATCCCTAGCTGTAGAAAGAATGTCATACACATATAAACCCAGAAATCCTATAGTAGAAAAACATTAACTAATCCTCTCATAAACCACATGATCAAACACATGATTAATCATCTGCTGTAAAAAGAAATGTAAATGTTAGCGCTGCGCAAGTTAGTGAATGACACGCACATAGTAAATTCACAGACAGAGAAAATGGCATTTAAAAGATTAAATCGTCATGCAACCTCGAATGTTGCTGTCATCTTTCTGCTCCTGTAACAAAAACACATAAATTCATCCACCCTTTTGTCCTGTCTAGGTGGAGGTTAACCTTGAGTCGTGGTCAAGTCTTGTCAGCTTCTATCAGTCAGTCAGTTTGTTCTTTATTTCCATTCATTCATTCATTCATTCTTTCTTTGCTGATAGTGGAACCTGTCGTCGCATTTAGTTTCCACTTTCAGCAAAATGACGTCATTTCAATAAAAGAAAAAGAATTTTAGATAGGATTACATCGCTGAATCCTTTTTAGGACAGGGACTCTCATTTAATATTGTCCCAAATAAGTAGCTTTCTCCAGAGCCCATTTTAATGTGGAGAAAACTCACTTGTAACAATTTTCTCAACGACGTTTAGCACTTTTAATTCCCGACGTGCAGATCTGCTTAAAGAAAACAAAATCAGTGCTTGTTCAAAAGATAAAAATGAAAAATAACAGAGATTATCAAACAAAACTTTCAGTGCACTGTAAAAGTGTCAAAATAAAAAAGGCCTTTAAGTCATGACACAAACTCCTCATCAACTTCACAACAGGAGAAGAATCATCAGCTAGATTCACTCCAAACCAACCATCAACTGCACAACACACAACATAACCCTAATGTCATATTAGCTATGAGTTTAATCACCCGGTCTGTGCTCTTCACTCATTTAAACCACAGATCTATTTTATTCAATTTTCACAAAAAAAAAAAAGTTTGTTCTGACGTATTCAAAGTTGTGTAGCTAAATACAAAAGTCACTCGCACATCAAACAGGAAACTCAGTGTTTTAGAGTCTCCACTTAACACACAAACTCCAACACATCTCATTCACTCGTGCTAAAATTCAATCACCTTTCATTAATCTAAGAACCGATCAACTAATTTGCATATCAGCTATTAACCCACTAAGTTGACAGGACGACAGAAAAGCATGTTCAAAATAGTATCACAAAAGACAATTTCCCTCATACAGTAAATTACATGTGCTGCCTCAATCAAGCAGGAAGCTTCTCCCAATTTACCATTTTAACAACTAAATTTATTGTCTGATCACTGATTCGTCAAACCAGGATTTTTTTTTTTTTCCACAAAAGTTAAATTGTTGTCCTGCAACCTAGAGAGTCAATTTTTTTTTTGCATTGTATAAATTCAGTATTTAATAACAAGTGTCTGCTAAATTGACACTATTTTAACACTGATGAAAGATAACAAGCTAATTTTCATTGCATGTCTGTGGAGCTGCATATCCAGCAGAGCATGTAATGTGCTATGAGTTTCACTGGTTTTTGCATCACACGAGGTGACTTGGACAAGATGATAAACAGACTCACACACTTAAAATGTTGTCTAATCTTCATGAGCTCTCTTGTGTTTGGAGTGTTAGTATGGTTAATGCATGTTCTGCTTTTGTGTGTGATTTTGAATATTCTATTTTCGCAGTGTTTAAAACTCCGTCTCAATTTTCCACTTAAGCAGTCAGTTTTCTTTTCCCCAGGTTTGCTAACCCAAATTTTGATTTCCCACATTTAATAACAAAATTTGTGTTCTCACCACTCTCATTCTATTGTCCTCTGATGCGGTTGACTTCGTGCTAGTGGCTGAAGTACTGCTGCTGCTGCCTTCTTGGGCAACTTCTTAGCAGGTCCTGCCGGTTTCTTGGCTTTGGCCGCGGCGGGCGTCTTGGCTTTGGTCTCAGTAGCCTTGTTCATCTTGAAGGATCCGGAGGCCCCGGTGCCCTTGGTCTGCACCAGAGTGCCCTTCGCCACCAGGCTCTTGAAGGCGGTCTTGACACGGGCCTTGTTCTTGTCCACATCGTAGCCTGCGGCAGCCAGAGCCTGCTTGAGAGCGGCCGCGGACACGCCGTTGCGCTCCTTGAAAGCGGCCACGGCTTTCACGATCAACTCGCTCACGCTGGGGCCGACCTTCTTCGGCTTGGACCTCTGCACAGGGCGTGTTTATGATGGAGCCTTTCCGACCACAGCCGGCACGTTGAGCGCATCATTAAGGGTCCATTTCTTTCATGTAGCAGTCCTTTCTGAACATTTCGACATGCTGCCGCCGCCGAACCTGGCCTCAGATCCAGCAAGCTCAGCGCGCTGATCTCCAAAAAAGTCCCGAAAGCCAGAAAGACGTCAAATAAATGTCTCGTTCTAAGAGCTCGAACAAAAACTCCTCTTCATCCCGCCATCTTGCTCGCCCCTCTGTGGAATTCATCCAATCAGATAGGAAGATGGGTTTGCTTTTCTTCTTCTCTGGTGCTTTGTTAGATTGCTTCTGCAGCCTCTGCTCCGATACTGCCGCTGCTGACCAGGTTTTTTTTCCAGGTAAGAGTGAGAGTTTTGAGACAGATCGTGCTGTAAATAAGTCAGCCAGAAACTTGGCTTGAACGTTTCCAATTATTAAACTATTGTTTAACAACTATTGTTTAAATTTTCGTCCAACCGCTGCATGTGGAAAATTGATTCAGGTCTGCTTTTCACCTGAAAGTGACAAACTAAAGACATGTTCATTATTATCATCACTGCTTAATCAACACACATCTCTCTTTCTCTCTTTTTGTTTGTATTTTTTTTTAAAATAGCTGGTGATCTGCAGTATCACAGCTCTCATAATCAAAAACAATTATTTTTACACAGCGCACAAAAACACCGTGATGTCAGACACATTCACACTCATTTTTTCTTCTACGTAGAGTTTACACACTTGAAAGATGGCACATCTGAGGTTAATTTAATTATTTGCTAGCTTTCTCTGAGTGAGCAACTTCTCACTTTTTAACGTACGTTTCAAAACAACAGGCAACTTTCTGTGTCTTTCTGCTTTTAATTTACTTTATTCGGGGACTAAGGAAGTCGTCAGTGTATCTCTCTGGATCACTAAGTGAAACTTCGTCAGCATATCCCGTTTCTTTATGGATCGATCACTGAGAGAGGTATAATACGGACGCATATTTACCTTCGTCAGCCTGATCCCACTTCTGACACCAAATTGAGGGAAATCTCCATCATCCGTAGATCGAGTTTCCTCCTAAGGCGTGGGCACCAATAAGCAGAGTTCATCCTTTAACATATAACAAAATTAAAATATTCTCATGCATGATCAACGGTTAATCACGGTACCGGCCGGAGTACCGGGAGCAGTTTGGAAGAACAAGAAGACGCAGAGACTGTCCTAGGTTGTCATTCCAAACTGACTCAACTTTATTCACAAGTACAACAGTTTATATAGAGGAAAAAGGTTCGTGTGTCAGCAGATTCTCAGTTCAAACTGGTACAGACCAAATAAGGAAGCGTCTTCCTGCCCTCTGAGCAAAGAAGTATCCTTTGTATAGTTCAGCTACAATTTATGATCATCCCAGCGAAATACACTCCTAGACATAGAGTACAGCGTTCTTTCATTAGTGAATTCTGAAACAAACCACCTGGCCTTTAACGAGCCTTTTTCTAAGAGATAAAGAAAAAGGGAGGATGGGAGTAAGGAAGTGATCTCTGTGGTATTTTCGACCTTGGTACCATCCTGTGATTCTTACACATTAATTCTTGGGTCACAGAGAAAGAGAAAAACAACTAGTAAATGGGCCTTATTGAGTAACAGTTTTCCTGTATAATATCACTATAAAACAATATCCTGTAAATGCTACCATGATATCAAAATATCACAACATGCACTTATACTTTCTCCCACAGAAAACTCATTCCCTTCATCAATCTGATCAGAAACAGAAATGTTCATTTCACTAAGATTATATGAACGTTCAAGAAATGGAGAAACAATCAAGTAACCAGACCACAGTCCACAGAAGCCAGTCTCTGCCATCAATTCCTCTTTACTCACAGAAGCAGGGGCACCACCAAGCAGGTCCAGGGGGCACTGGCCACCCCCCAAAATTTGCTGCCCCTGCACAGAAGACGAGACATCAGGAGACACCAACAGAGAAACAGTCTGCGGATGGGCTGGGCATCAGGACATACGAGCAGCAGGTCAAGACTAAAGCAACTTGGAACTAAGAATAAGACCAAAGCCACTAAAAATACATGAAGCAACTGCAAACATTACACACACCGACAATCAACAGGCTTGAAAGTCTAAAAAACTGAAACTGCTGGGCACACTGACCCAGAAACATGATAGAGATACAATAAGACACAATAAAATAAAAGAAATGATAATAAATCAATAAAAGTCTCAACAGGAAGCCCATTTAAACAACATACAGTGGTGTGGAAAAGAGTTTGTCATCTTCCTGATTTCCTGTTTTTAATGTTTCATCAAATAAATTTAAATATTAGACAAAAATAGCACAAGTAAACACAAAATGCAGTTTATAAATGAAGGTGTTTAATATCAAGGCTAAAATATTCAAACCCATAAGGTCCTGTGTGAAACAGAGATTTTATAACATAAATTAACAGTGGTGAATGACATCTTTGGAAACTTGAGTTCAGTTTCTCTAGCCTCACACAGGCCTGGTGACTTAAATAGGACCTGCCTGACAAAGCAGAGTAGACCAAAAGGCTCTCAGAATCATATCATGTCACAATCCTGCGACTCATCCAGAGGTCACAAAAAAACAGCACAATATCCGAAGAACTGCTTGCCTCACTTCTCTCAGTTATGGACAGCGTTCATGACTCCAACATAAAAACAAGAGACTGGACAAAAATGACCTGCATGGCAAAGTTCCAAGACAAAAACCACTGTTGAACAAAAGGAACATTAAGGCTCGTCTCAGTGTTGCCAGAAAATATCTTGATGATCCCCACGACTTTTGGGAAAATACTCTATGGACTGATGAGACAGAAGCTGAACCTTTTGGAAGGTGTGTGTCCCATTCATCTGCAGTAAAAGTAACACAACATTTCAGAATAGGAACATCATACCAAAATATGGTGGTGGCCCGGGGTTGTTGTACTGACTGAGGACCTGGAAGACTCACTGTGGTAAATGGAAGCATGAACGAGACTGTCTGGCCATCTGTTCATGACGTCAAGCTGAAGTTGGGTTCTGCAGCAGGACAATGATCCAAAACCATGCAGTGTGTTACATCCCAAAGAAGTCTACGGGGTGAGGGGAGGAACATAAAACTAGAAAGAGAAATCAATATCAAGCTAGCCAAAAACATAAGCCTAATGAAAAAACAGGCAAACAAACCAAGGCTTCCAGAAACATCTGACATTCTGACAACCACAAAAATGGCCAAAGACCCTGAAGCGATATTTCAGTCAGCCTTGGAGAACATCTGTTGGCTGCAGGACTCGGACTTCAGCTTGCACTGAAACGTTCACGGCTGAATGTGAAATGGTGGGAATGAGAATCGGCACCTCCAAATCCGAGGCCATGGTCCTCAGCCTGAAAAGGGTGGAGTGCCCACTCCGAGTCAGGGACGAGTTCCTGCCCCAAGTAGAAGAGTTTAAGTATCTCGGGATCTTGTTCGCAAGTGACGGGAGAAGGGAGCGGGAGATCAATAGACGGACTGGTGCAGTGATGCGGACGCTGTACCGGTCTGTTGTGGCGAAGAGAGAGCTGAGTGTAAAAGCAAAGCTCTCAACATCAGGAAAGGAGACATGTCCCATCGTGACCGTTGATGGCTGAAGAGATGGAGCTTTCTACGATACAAAAGAGGAAGCCAGTAACAGAAAATAAGACCCTCAGAACCAGGCCACGTAGAACTCCTGGACTCTTGGAAGTTCAGCCACCCGGGAGGGGCTCAGAGTAGAGCCGCTGCTCCTCCACATCGAAAGGAGCCAGTTGAGGTGGTTCAGGCATCTGGCAAGGATGCCTCCTGGGCGCCTCTTGGGTGAGGTGTTCCGGGCATGTCCCACCGGGAGGAGGCCCCGGGGCAGACCCAAGACACGCTGGAGAGATTATATCTTTCGGCTGGCCTGGGAACGCCTTGGTGCTCCCCCGGATAAGCTGGAGGAGGTGGCTGGGGAGAGGGAGGTCAAAATCCTGACCTGAATCTGATTGAAATGCTGGGATTTTGTATGAAGCTGAGTTACATAAGCTGGAACAGTCACCCAGGTCATGGTCTTGAGAGCATGAAAATGACAGCTGGACGTCTTAAGGGTCCTGCTGCAGCCACATTTGTTTTATTCTAATAACACTCCTCCTCCTCCATCAGGGGTCACCACAGCAGATCATCGCCTTCCATCTCACCCCATCTCCAATATCCTCCTCTGTCACACAAATCTTTTACAGATTGTTCTTCACTACATCCACAAATCCTCTTTGTGTTTTTTTAACCTCCTACCACATTCAGGGTCTTTTGCCCAATGTACCCACAGTCCTTCCTTCTTATGTCCAAACCATCTTAACCTCGCCTCTCTAACTTAACCACATGTTTTGAGACAGAATAAATCAATATGTTGATCAATTCTAAAGTCTTTTCAAAACAGATGATCATAAAGAGAGTCTCCTGATGTTTAATAATTCATATTTAATGGTTTTGCTCTTTGGTGCTGCTTTATCTCAGGTGGTCTAAGAGCAGACAAAAGCTCTATGTGGTGTTTTGGGGCTATGGGGGGAGGAGGGAGCTGCAGAGAGCCAAGTAAGACTACAACTTTTAATTCCTGGTCTTTACTTAGTGTTGATTTAATAAATTAATCCTTATTTCTATAAATAACAGCTGCACCATCTAAAGTGGAATGACAAAAACTCTCCTAATAAGACCAGATCAGTTATCTTTAATGCCCACATTGGTTTTTGGGCACCACATAGACAGCTAGCGGTTGAAGGATGACATGTAGCTATGTAATCAGTGGTCAGATTGGGAGTCTGATCAAATTTGATCGGAGGCAACTCCTCTACAGAGAGCTTACCAGAGTTGCTCATTTGGGAAAATTGATCTGAAACAAAAAAACAAAGGTGTATCCTCTGATGGCCAGGGCCCTGAAAGTAGGAGGAGCACATGGTGGAACCTATAGCAAATTATAGGGGAACTTGTCCCCGCTTACCTTTCAGTGTAAATATGAGCATACAGTATGTATATGAGGTGTTGCTCTGATTGTTTAACTGGGTCTGTCTAACCTGCTTGGCCCTGTGGCTTTCCCACACCAGTATGCACAGAGGTCACACATACAAACATCTTGAGAGGGAATCCTTATGCACTGAGAACATTGAACATGCCGAGCTGACATTATTTTTACTTTCCTGGGGTTGTATTAACAAATGGTTTCCTGGTTGTGGCTACAGATCTGGACACCTGCGCTACTTTGTGGCTGCTATTTCTGCAGTTCATGGAAACCAATCTCAGAAAAGAGAAATCATATAATAAAGAAAATAATTGACACCAGAATATATTTCAGGTTATATATTTTATGTAGTAATACAAATAGCACAATTGGAAAAGGGTGTGCAAAAGTAATTACAGTCCTTGTTTTTGGCTTACATTGCATTCAACCCTATATTGTAACAGGCAAACACTGCAATGAATCCACACTTTGATGCTACTATCTCATACATTCTCATACATACAGTATCATTGTTCTCAGTTGCTTTTGACCATTGTTTACAGTCAAAATGTTGCAAATCCTGTCTTTAGATGTGCTAAATTATATCTCAGCTGACCCAGTGAATTAGTTATAACTAATTCAAATCAGTTTACATCCAGATTCACTGCATATTTGCAGTTTTATGCAAGTCAGATCAAATACGGTTGATTTTTCTGGCAAAGACATGACAGTAGTATATCTCATGCAGCAGTCACATAAATTACCATTTAAAAAGTCACTATTGTTTCTACAATGTCTAAACTTTAATTATGCATCTGGACCAAATAAGGACTTGTAAAGGTGGTCAAAAACTGTTACTGACATCTGTAGGTGAAAAGAAAAGAAGAAAAAATCTGTTCAGATGCACACATGCTGAGAAAAAAGCTGTTCCTTTAACTCCATATCATATAGTGTGATCATGAAAAGGCTTCCACTGTCTTGGCTACCACAGTTAGTCAGATGGTGGTGTTGATGATGGCACTGATCCTGTCTTAAGTCTGCAAAGCATGATTTGAATAAGCTGGACACAGAAGATGTGAGAACTGAACACTTTTACCTACCAGGATATAGTCTGCACCCCCGTGAGGGGAAGAATAGATTCCACAAAAACAAAGTGCAAATGTCATGTAATCAGTCACTGCAGTAACATTTATGAAAGCCTGACTTCAACATAGGGGGAACTACCCAAAGCCCTTAATTATCATAAATGTCTTCAAGAAACAGAAGCTGAGGGACGTAAAGTTGTCCTCATAATCTCATGACCTGAACATCATCTTTGGAGAGATTGTAAACATGCTCTGCATGCAAAGATCATCGAAAACATCTCAGAACGTGAACAGTGGCTGAAAATTCCTAAATCCAAAATGAAAACACTCAGAAAACATTTAGGTCAGCGGTCTCCAACCTTTTTTGTGCCACGGGCCGGTTTATGTCCGACAATATTTTCACGGCCTTTAAGGTGTTGCGGATAAGTACAACAAAATAAAACCAGTATCGGTACCAAAAAAAGAAGATTTATTCATAACACAGGAAAAGATCCAGGGAAACCGAGTTAACGATAAAAACGATTTAAAAAAATAACGATAAAAACGCTGAAAACCATAAATTTCGCTCCCGAGCCTCAACCCTCGCAGCCCGGTACCGAACGACTCACGGACCGGTCCGTGGCCCGGGGGTTGGGGAGCGCTGATTTAGAGTTGTGATACCTGCTAGAAAAAGTTCAACACTGATCTAGTTACTTAGTAGTTAATATGTGAGACAAGTACTTTTTGCATACAACTGTGTCGTCATCAAAGTACTACAACAATTAGGCACATGGGTTAGTAATTAATGAAAGAACAATACTGCAGATAATACAGAGCAACAGAAGATAGACTGACACACAGAACATGAAAAACCAGAACATGTATGTGCTGCATCCTCCTCTTGCTGTTGGTCACAGTAGGGATCAAACTGTAGGCCGAAGTATCACGTCAAGAATTTCAACACAACATTCGAACACACAGTGCAGTGTATCTACAATCGAAGCCCATCATTTGCCAGCACCTAATGCATGAACTTCAAAACTTTAATATATCAACAGCTTACTGATGGAAAAAGCAGGTGAAATGATCCAGTCGCTGTCAGACCGTTTGATGGTTAGTATTGATTTTGTAAAATATTTAAGTTATAGTTGTTTTTTTAATTTTATTTTATATTTTGTGTTTTTTCCAAGTCCAAGAGCTTTGGGTAAAGTGTTGATAAATTTCATTAAGACATTAGTAGTTGTAATACTTGTAAGTTTATCATGCAACGTGTGATTAAATGTAAAACTCACTGCCACGTCAACACAAACTACTCAAAAACAAAGCAGATCAAAAATATCAAGACTTCAGATGAGCAAATATATTCATACAGTCATTAGCAGAATGAAAACATGCCAGGATCAGATCTCCTCTGGAATATCGTGAAGATCTGAAAAAAAGAGAACAAATATAAATTCAGACCTCTAACATCAGTTTAACAGTGCAGTATTTTAGTGTCAAGTATCCAAACATAACGGGGGGAGGAACAAATCAAATTAAAGCTCATGTGTTTTGTTTGAGGAATGAGGGATGAGGATACAAAGGCAGTCAATAAACTCGTTGGTGGCTGGACTTCTGGAGTCACCCAAGTTCTTTAAAGCTCTGAATGTTGTGGAGCTGTTCGGATTTATACAGCTTTGCAACGTTGCGTGGAAATTGTGGGGAGTACCTCTGGACTGGCAAGTTGGCTGCGGGTTGTTGTATAAAAAGCCAAGTGTAAACATGTAACCCATCTTTTTTCTGGGAAATCAAAAAGTAAATGGTTTGGGAAACGGTGTAGCTATGTCTTTATATCCTAATCAGACAACCAAGTACAGTAAAAGGTCTTAAGTGTGGTATTTGCATTTGGTTGCTGAGGAGAAGGGCTTAGACTAAAATGGAAGAAATCAAACGGGAACATTAGGAGTACCAAACCACATCAGCAGTTTGGTACTTTTTTTTAGTTACATTTAGTTACATTTAGTTACATCTACAAATGACGATAAAGTTATTTTGTCAGAAAGTGTTTTGTAACATTTCTGTCCTGATGCTCAGTTATACAGGTAAATCCCAAAAGCTTGACTCTGTTCATCAGGACGTTTTCAGTGGGAGAAACGTTTCGTCACTCATCCAGGTGACTTCTTCAGTCTCAGCTGACTGCAGGTCAGTAACTTGACCATTAGTATGCAAATTGTCATGACCAGTGATCAACAACCACCGATCAGTGGCCATGAGTCCCATTCACAGAGAGCTGGGGAATGGCTGCAATCACAGAAGAGCCACGTCGTCAGGCCAGGACTCTGCAGT